TTCAAAACAGCTGAACAGTACATCAAGGAGCAACAATGTAAACGCAAGAAATGCACAAAAACGAACTTGCAATTGGCAAGAACAGTTGTAAAATATTTTGGATCGGCACAAAATCGATCCATACCGCCATTCAAAACCAGTGCTGGAATTTTCAAGCTCGGCAAAACGTAATCGGATGGAAAACGCCCGCCCAGCAATTCGTAAACCCTGAAATGCATAATTGCGCTTCTCAAGAATGAGCTCTTTTTTATGTTGTTTTGCCTAAAAATGCCAAATGTTTATAAGTTAAGAACAGCAGCTATTTTTATTTACAGTAACGCTTTTTGTGACATGGTACTTTTTTGGTACCAACTCAGGAAGATAGTTTTATGCTGCAGGCAAACAGAAACATACGAGATCAGAAGGTGATGCTCAACACCAGAAGAATTACTTGAAGCCGCCAAAACTTTGATAAGCAGTTCTGGCAAGAAAACCAATAAGCTGGTAATCATCTCAGGAAAAGAGCCATCAAAATAGTCCAGTTTTCCTGAGAGATACTTAAGCAGCAAGCTCATAGAAATTGCAGAAATACCACAGCCGCTTGGTCAATTGGTGTGCATATCCAATGTTACCAGTATTACTGATTATATGTCTAACAGGTGCCTCACGTGCCTCAAAATTAATTACGTGCTTTAAACGTTGATCTCAATATGCCAAGACTTTCAGTGCAGTAAAAAAAATTCAATTTGTATCTTATCAATCTTGGTTAGCATTGCAACTGCACAAACGATATTGTTCTGAATTCAAATGTGACTTTCTAGCTTCCAAGTACCTTTTTATCAGTGAAATTAAATGTGCTAGCGTTTGCACGAAAGCGAGTTGCTCAATTTTTCTGGGAAGCTCTATAGAAAAAAGAATATCCGTGCAAATATGAGCAGCCTAGGATTTTCGAGACGGGCCCGAGCAACCGATGCAAAAAAACATCACTGCAAACCAGAACGATTCAGGAGTTTCAGGAGTCGCCAGGACAATCAATACGCAGGTCAGAGATTAGCGGATACTTTTGAAATTTATCTACGTGCAACTGTTTTCTTGCAAGAAACACAAAGTTTACTGTTGCACGACGTCGCAGAGGTCAGCCCATTGTTTTGTAACAAATTCCTTAGGATAGTGCTTCAGATACACTTCCATAGCATCCGGCATCCACTGTTCTGTGTTGCGCATTCCTGAAATGACGAAGAAAGCTATCCGGTGTAACTTCGGCGGCAAAAAATGAAATGAAAACGATACCGCCGAAATCCAGGGGAGATAGTTCCATACAGTACAAGAATACAAGTCCACGCGACAGTGCGGGCGTTTTGTCGGAATGCTACTGCACACCTAACATAGGGATCTACCAGGGTCTTCGATCCTGGAGTGCATTTTTCCATTTATTACCCTCCTTCCTTTTCCCCTTTCTCCTTCGATGCATGTGCATCACTTCTTTGAAAAGGTGAGGAGGGGAGGGAGAGAGGGGTGGAAGAGCGAGGGCTCGTTCTTCGAGATATGGGTAAAACACCAAGAGTAGAAAATGCAAAATTTTACCTCGAAATATACCAGCTCCACGAAAATCGACCCGAGTGCCTGCAGAGAGTAGGATCATACCGTTGACAAGTTGTTTTCCTTGGCCAGCAACATGAACTGCTGTTCGTGCGCCTTCACTCCAGCCCAGCACCACAAATGGTGTCAAATTCAAATGCTAAAGAATACTTCATCATACAGCTTCCAAACTTGAATACAGCCTTAACACATGATTTCAGCATAAGTATTTGATTATGATATCGTCAAAAAGTCAAAACTCCGCCCGTATTCTCTCTTTATAAAAGCGGAGAAACCTGGAAATTAGTCCGAGTAACAAATGCCAACAACAACCACACGCCGGTAAGAATGCCAGGGGATGACGGTTTACTATCATATTTGCCCTCAAGGAGGAACAGGACATTCCGAGCAGGAAATTATGAAATATTTGAAATCGAACTGCAACAATTTGGTATTTGAGGAAAAAATTTTAGAAGTACTAAACCGAATGATTCTGGATCACCAAAACTGAACATTCTATGCTTTAAGATATTAAAGGGATGACGACGCACCATTACGAAGTGTGCGAACGAGCTTCTTCAATTTTCTCTGCATTATATAGATAAACTCAAAAAAGGGAAATGTTTACCTCCATAAGTTTGATACAGAATGACGCGTCTTTCATACAACGATTGACTTCTTGCTTTCTGGAAAAAATCAAGGCTTACTTCTTAACAGCAAATCCATGGTACAATAAAAAGCTTAATTAGTGTACATCTTCTTTAGCCACTGGTGCAGCGGTACAAGAAAGACCTTAATTTATTTCCATACTATTTAAAAAAGCTCTCCCTTTCATTTTTTTGAAAGAATTTTTCAAGAATTCCGAGATACCAAGAGTGTAGGCACAGTCACCGATGGTGTCCTGTGTTAGTGATGTTGCTGAGATGCTCCCACCGGACACATGCCGTTACGTCAGGTTTTTCGATTCTGAGCTGTAGTCAGCCAATAAATGTGCTTCACCTCTTCGGAAGC